CTCCCCCCCCCCCCCCCCCAATTGGACGTCTGTGAAAAGAGCTTCAAAGCTTTTCGGATTAAATTTCGATTTAGGAGTACCCCTATCCCCTCCCTTTGATGCCGCTAATCCTGCATAATGCACGGGCATAATATGACTTTGAAAACCCCCCGCCCACCTCCTACGCTTTTCACAAGTAGTACTAATCACATACCTGCATTTCCCATAAATATGCTAAATTCCTCTTGATATGCAAATGTTTTTGTCAAGGCGCCCTTCCCCCCTTCCAACCCAGCTTAAATATACGCTCCAAGCGTGGTGCTGTTTCATTCAGACGCTGTCTCCCCGACAGACCTGGTCTTCACCTGAGGACGGCTGCTTGCGTTGTGGCCGAAACGTCGTGAGAATTATTTGTATTATGTTTTATTTTTATTATTTTATTATTTCCATTCTACGTGACTTTACCGAAAGAACCAAGAAGAGGAGCTTATCGGATTCTTCCAGTCCAAATAAATGTTCTGAATTCACCAACCTGCGCTGTACTGCTGTCCAGCTTGGCGAAGTATGGTCCACAGCCCCATGCAGGAAAGCCTTCGTCCAGCAGTGCATTGAAACGGGGTTTTTATTTCGATTTAAAGCTTTCGTGACTGCAGGGATTCATCTTCTTGGTTCTTTCGGTAAAGTCACGTAGAATGGAAATAATAAAATAATAAAAATTAAACCTAATAAAATCATTCTCACGACGTTTCTGCCACAACGCAAGCAGCCGTCCTCAGGTGGAGAACAGGTCCGTCTTCTCGACAGACCTGTTCTCCACCTGAGAATTATTTTATTATGTTTTATTTTTATTATTTTATTATTTCCATTCTACGTGACTTTACCGAAAGAACCAAGAAGATGAAACGGGGTTCTTCATTTTTTTACGAACTGTATAAACATTTGGAGGTAGAACACACCACAACCCCCCTCCCTCCCCCTAGGCAATTTTTACATTTGATTCAAGAAATTTATTTTTATTAGCATAGCCGGCAAATGCCGTGTCTCTGGTGGCTGTGTGCATGACAGTAACCCAATAAATGTCACCTATGAATAGAAAGGCATCGACTCTTGCGCACCTGATTCAACACACGTATCGCAAGCTTTGAAACTGATAATAATAAATAAATTTATTGATTGCTTAATTAATTAATTGTTCCATTCCCATTTAACACAAATATTCGCCACCCTACAATTAACGCCAGCTGTACAATGGCCATCTGTATAGGCAAAAACGAAGACGCCCCCGTATAGGCTTTAACAGGCTGTCACGGCACGTACCGTTCGCAAGCACCTATGAAGGCTGCCACGACGCACGGGGGTTTGGGTGGCCAGCACCACGCCCGGGGGCTGCCTTTGTCTCCCCAGGCATCGTGTTTACACACTGCACCAGGGTGCTCATTTAAGGCCAAGTCAACTGGAAGAGGGCACAGGGCAACTTCAACTATTCGCCACTATCTTATTGGGTCTTTCGGTAAAGTCACGTAGAAGGGAAATAATAAAATAATAAAAATTAAACATAATAAAATAATATAATAAAGTTATATTATATAATAATATTTTACTTTTATTACTTTATTATTTCCCTTCTACGTGACTTTACCGAAAGAACCAAGAAAATGAATCCCTGCAGTCACGAAAGCTTTACATCGAAATTTATCCGCCACTGTTATTGGTCATGAGCAAGAATCGAACTCGGGTCGCCGGCTTCATCGTGCAGTGCGCTAGCCACTACACTACTGCTACACACACCACAAATGGCGAAATGTTAACTGCCTCGCTCGATATGCAGAAGGTCGTGGGTTCGATCCCGACCTTGACGCCTGTATTTTTTGAGGTTGCATGTCTCTCCCTGTGGTCGTGTGGATTTTTCTCTGGGTCCTTCGGTTTTTCTTCTCCACATTTAGAATCAACATCACGCGTTTGGAGTATTTGGCGGCTATAAATGTCCGCGCGATAAGCCACTTCATTGAGCTATTCTTTGTGATAACCAGGTCGCTTTTGAAAAAAAAATCTATATAGCTCAGTGGTCCTTCCCTCCTAAAAAAAATTGTAAAATAAATAGTTAAACACACGCAGCTTAGCTATTGATATTGCTCTTTTGATAGGCTCTGGAGGATGTCGATTTGGAACACCTACTAGTTTTTCTTTTTGCTCAAGAATGGCGTTATGAAATTGCTAAATTATAGCTCTTAAGCCTTATCCAGCAGGAGTAATTTATGTTTTATTTTAACTTCAATGTCTGTTTAACTTCTTTTGCACCGTATGTAGCCAGAATAAGAGTCAGAAGTTTATTGTCCGAGCAGCTATTTTTTTAAGGTGACTCGGCCAGCAGGCAGACACGGCAGCAAGCGTTAATAAACATGATCTCCAAAATAATATATATATAAATAAAGTTATTACAACCAAATAGATCTTACAAAACAATTGCGTACAATTCGTATTGATTCGACCTCAACGATGCCCCCCACCCGTTCCTCCGTCCTTCTAAAGAAATGTTGCTCCACTTTTACATAAAAATGAGAAATCCTTCCCTCCAGCGCAATTTGCCTCTTGCTCCTTGGCCGTACAGGAATGTAAGGCGAGGAAAGTTGTTTGCTATTCCAAGAGTGTAAAAAAAAAGTGAAGTCGCCTCGCCTGAGATGTCATTGCCCCACTTGATTAAATTGCCTCTACGTCGCAGTAATTACATCGTGCGAACGAGTTTATGAATTTCAAACCACTTGCTATGCTTAACGCATTTGTGGGCTGTCATAGAAATGTGAAATATGAAGGGTTTTTTTTGGTTTAAATACCTAGAATAATTGCCAGCCTTAAAATATATATTAGTCAGCAATCTATAATATAGACTGTGTAGCAATGGTTATTAAGCTGGGTGAGTACTGGCAGTCTATAATGTTAGACTGTAGCCTGGTTATTAACCTCGGTGAGTATACTGGTAGTCTATAATGTTAGACTGTAGCCTGGTTATTAATTTTGGTGAGTGTGATGGCAGTCTATAATGTAAACTATGGTCTACATTATAGACTGCCAGTACACTCTGATTTAGAACCAGGCTACAGTCCACATTAGTGCTTTTTATTATTTTTATTTGATTTGTATTATTTTTATTCACGTTTTTATTATTATTTTTCTATCTACGTGACTTTACCGCAGTCACGAAAGATTTAAGTCAAAATTATTCAGCAAATTAGTGATTGCTCCTTGTTACTTCATCCATTGCTCATAAAATATATACGGGAATGCGTCATAGGTCTGTAAATTTTGCTTTCTAGTATCTGGAAAATCCTGCCACAGAATGATGTGCAACCCCTAGGGGCATTGGACTTGCAACCCAAAGGTTGCCCGGTTCCATTCAATCTCCCAGCACAGGCGTTAAAACAACACTGCAAGTTTCTTAAATCCCAACCCTCGCCACCACCACCCGGACCCTGCCTCTCCCAACTCTGGCCACCCAGCGGCATAAATGAGGACACCACAGTTTGTCAATCGGCATGTGTGGATGTACGTTGAACTTCTTTCGCGCCGTACGTAGCCACCTGTGCTAATCGGAGGTGCGGGGGAAGGGCAACAAACTAAACACGGAAGATCAGTTCTTAAGAAATGACAGGTGGGGCGAACTATGGGTACTTCTACCTACGTCTTGCAAGTGGAAAAGTAAAAAAACGTTATCTTTGTCACGTAGGTGAAAATAAAATAAATAATAAATAATGATAATAACTAAATAAAATCACGACGTTTCGGAAGCAACACAAGCCTCCGTCATCAGGTAGTAGACAGCCACAGCAAGAAATAATTTGCTGGAGTGGAACTGCTCGTAACAAGATATTATATAAGGCAAGAGGGGGGAGGAGCCAGAGGGGGGGGCTTTACCGAAAGAACCAAAGAGTATGGATCCTTGCAGTCACGAAAACTTCAAATCTAAAAAAAACTTCGCCTCCAAAGCAGCGTGTGGCCACAACTGACTTCTCCCCAGCGGCTCATTAATCCACCCACACGCGGCTCGATCGATGGGGCATAACGCAGAACGCACTATCACAGTAGCAAACAATAGTTAATTAGTTGTACGATAAGTTGCATGATATACGCTCAAATATATACACTTGACTCTTTGCAGAACTCATGGGTGCTTCGTGGCTATTGGTCTTGTTAAAGGTTGGCCACCCCTGGCTCTTGAGGAAGCACCTCAAGATGTCGTTCACGTAGAGAGGCCCCCTTTCCCGCCAGCAAATGGCTTGGCCATGCAATTGCAACGCTGCTGCATCTTTGCCTATTCACCTCTTTGGTGCGGCCTGGTGAAGGGTGCATATTCTTAGGTTTTTTCGGTAAAGTCACGTAGGTAAAACATTAAAATTAATAAAAGTAAAATAAAATAAAAATCACGACGTTTCGGAGGCAACACAAGTCTCCGTCTTCAGGTGGAACCGTCACAGCCCGACAGCTGTATCAAGTAAATGAGGAAACGTCATGATTTTTATTTTATTTTACTTTTATTAATTTTAATGTTTTACCTACGTGACTTTACCGAAAAAACCTAAGAATATGAATCCTTGCAGTCACGAAAGCTTCAAATCTAGAATGGTGAAGGGTGGTTTGTTGGCGGGGGTAGGGTCCAGGACTGATTCAGACATAACGATTGAGCCGTGTGTCCACTACTACCCACTGTTCCACAAGAAATTGTCCCGCAAGAATTTCGCTATGTTTTTTTAAAAACGTTCAGGGAAGAGAATATAAATGCTTGTCTTATTATTATCTGCTCCGCTAAATAAATCACGTTGAATGTGTGACAATTGTTTCTACTCGCAACAGTGTGTCATAACTGCAGTGTTTGATGAGAAATGAATAAATGCCTATAAACGCGCGCACATTCACACGCACAGAACATACCTGGGCTGTGCTGTTGGCTTGGCAACTGCGGCGCGCAAATTTTGTTCTTATTTTAAAGCGTTCACTAATGATATTTTATGTTCCCGGCCTCATTTCAGGATGAGACGGAGAGAGACCCAGCTGGAGTTGGCCAAACGGGACATCGAGTGGTTTGACACGGAGTCGAAACGCTTCATTGACTGGATGGAAAAGATGGAGCAAGCTGCCGCGACTCTGGATCATGAATCTTCCCAATCAACACTCGGCTCTCTTGGCAAGTCCTGGCAGGTGGGTGCAGGTTTGGCGCGCGCGTGTGTGTGTGTGAGCGTTTTGTTTACCTTTTATGTCATCGTTATTGCCTATGGTCACATTTACATATTGTGATGACAAGTGGAACGTTCCGAGCATTGGCTGCGCGAGATCATCAAAGGCTCGATCTTGGGTAATGTGCATGCAATCGGCAAATAAGGCGCGCTTTAATCTCATCAGAGTGGACCATGTGAGAAGCGACGGAGGAATACATCGGTGGGATAAAATTTCCTCCAACTCGATGAAAATCTTGCGTGGTGCGATGTGAAATGTGTTCCAGTGGCACGGCACTTTTGTGACGCTTTGAACCAACCTGGTGTAGCTGCGTGCGTGCGTGCGTGTGCGCGCACGTGGGTGCATTCATTTGTGGCGCGTGTTTGGAATTTGAATGGATTTCTTGGGATTTGACAGCTGCGCATTTGTCAGTAATTTGTAAATGGATGGTGCGCGCGCGTGCGTGCGTGCGTGCGCGTGTGTTTGTGTGGGTTGCGTTAGTTTAGTGGTTGGCGCTATGAACCCGGCGAACCGAGTTACATTCCTGCACACAGCCAAGAATAGTGAAGATTAACTGAACCTTTCCTGCGTCTCCCCTTGGTCAACTCGGCCTCAAATGAGTACCTGGTGTGATGTGTAAAACATTGTCACGAGGGAAACAAAGGTGGCCGGGAATGGTGTTGTCCATCCCACACCCCCTCGTGTGCCATGCCGGCCTTCATAGGTGCTCGCGAACAGCACTTGCCCGAAGAGTCTGTTGAAGGCTTTACGGGGGATCTTCGTCTCTTTTGATTCTAAATGTCATCCAAATATTTAAACTGTGACAAATGGAATTGGTGGGAAAGACGAGGCAGTAAACACAATTTCACATCACAAGTCAGGGCTCCCAGCTCTGGTGTTTTACGCTGCCGATTTAATTAATTCTGTGCCAAGTCAGATTCAATAGGGTACTCAATCCACTGACATATTAAAAGATTACTTTTGGCCGCATAATTGCAGTTTGGTGGCTTTGGAACCATTGAGGAATTGATTTGTAGCGGGTTGCACTCGTGATGTTTGCAAATTCTTCCCAGGCATTTTTTACAAACTCAAAACTTTCTCCCAAATCTACCACCTTTAAAAATATATAATAAACATTAAATAATCACGTGACTTTCAGTGATTCAAAGATAAAAACTAAATCCGTGTGTGGTATGCATAAATACCATCATCAGAATTCGAATCTTTATTTAGGCTGGAGGAATCCAAATGAGCTACGAAGCTTTTTTACAGATTGTCCAGTAGTTCACACATGTCCAGTCGATGTCTTATCAGATCATCATTTACACTGCACTCCCCATACAGTACATTTCAAGCAGAAGTGGTCGCGGACAGTGATTGCAAACCAAATACGATGTTCAAAAATAATGTCGTTTTAAAAATATACGCAACGAATGAAAATAAATAACATTGAAAAGTTGAAAGGTTGTTTAAGACTTCCATGTCGTCCACTTAGTTTTTGAGTTTTGCATATGCTGTCTGGAAAAGGATGTCTTTTAATTTTAATGTAAATTAATTAATTGTGGGTGGCTTGATAATATTCCCAGGCAAGCTTGTCCACAATTCAGACGCCAAGTTTCCCTGTTATTTCATTTCATATGCTTACCTTAAGGGATCTGTAGCCCTCCCCCTCCCCCCCCGATACGATGAACACACAGCCCGGTCTCAGAGTCCAGAGGATTTTATCGGGTTCTTTTTAAATCCTTTATATTAAGTTCACTTGCTTGCTTGCGCGCTTACGACCGTGCAAATCTTTCGGTCGTTTTTTAACCCACTTCCCGTGATCCAATCGAGCTGACATTTTGCACACAGACTCGTTGTGCGTGACAATTTATTTTCGTGAAAAAAAATTACCAAAATTTTACACTTTTTAGGAAAAAAATAAATTATATTTAATTACCAATTGCTTAATGGTGGCAGGCAATCATCTGACCCATAGGTGGCAGCCATCTCAAGCCAGAGGACGAGAGGACTCTAGCCGCCACGCATATAAAGGATTTATAGTGAAAAACTTTGTTTTTACGGGTTAATTTTTTATGCTCGGCAGCCGTTTTGGCACAAAGGGGATGGGGGGGGGGTGGAAACCGCGAGCTCATGCGCACAGTCTCATCTTGATATTGTGCTGGCTTGCATGCACACGTTGTGGGAGATTTGGAGGATGAACAAGTGACCGGAGGGGGGTGGTAGTAGGAGGGGAACAAGACGATTGTGCTTTGCAAGTGACCTTGAGTTATTTCCGCGGGCCCGACCCATCGTTTTTCTGAGACATTCTGTCCGGGTGGTGGACGTTGCTACGGCCGCTGGGCTGTTGCTGCTGCTGGTTTTGCAGTTTGGCGAGTTCCAGATGGAGTTGTGTTTTTTTATTTAACCTATTTTTGGCGGCTAAATTTAGGAGCGTGCTCATGTCGCCTTCTGTGTTTGTTTTGTATCTGCACTCTGTCTCTAACCTGCAAAAACCCTTGCTTCCATACCAATTTTCCACTCAATTCAAAGGGTGGCAACAACATGCTACGTTGTGTGTGTGGCTGTGGAATGTCATTCGAGCGCAATCTTGCGTATGTAGACATTTACCGAGGCCAGCGCTTGTGGGCTGCTGTTTTTCAAATGGCGCACATTTTGACATTGCGCGAATTGAAAAATGTGAGCACACGATGTTAACATTTTCCTTTCCATTTCAAGCGTGCCCTGGTTTAAGCAGATATCATCCCACGTTTAATGCGATTCATTGTAAAATGTCTCAAGCTTAAAATGATTTGGTTTTTTCATCACAAAATGGGTATAATTTTTTTGTCTTTTGAATATTTGCTGTCAGCATTGGCTCCCAATGTATTCACTAATGCCAACTGATAGCAACAGTAATTTATTGCACAAAGGCAGCTTTAGTTTTACTGATGGGCAAGCTTTAATGCGCTGCTCCTATTCTATGGTTCTTTCGGTAAAGTCACGTAGATAGAAAAAAATAACAACAAAATAATAATAATAAAATCTTATTTTATTGTTATTTAAAACAATATTCTTTCATTGTTATTTTTTTCTGTCTACGTGACTTTACCGAAAGAACCATATCACATGAATTCCTGCAGTCACGAAAGTTTAAAGTCAAAATTGCACCGCTCCTGTGCAGCACAAGGATAATTGAAATGTCGTACCGATCCTCTTTGAACTGGAACTGTTTGTCGGTATTTTCGCCGTGTATATTTTTAGACGCAGGTATCACCTCATTGCGTGAACTGCGACGCGCGGCCGTGTGCGTTCGAGATGATGCATCTTGCCCAAAGCAACGCTTTCTTGGCAGTAAATAAAAAAAAAACTTGTCGGCGAAATAATTATCTGAAAAGCCGTTCATGTGGTAGCATCCAGGGGTGCAATTACTTATTTGCAAAGTTTGCCTGACTATCCCCCGGCAGTGTCCTGGAGGCTTTGTCTCTCAAGGATAAAAAAAAAACACACCAAACGTGGCCGTGCCAATTAATAAAAACACACGTCGGGTCTGATCTTGTGGTCTTTGCAAGCTGATCGGCGGTCATGCTGTAAGAGACATCCAGACGACTGATTTTGCACGGGGGGGGGGGGGGGGGGTGGCGGTGCCAGTTGGCCATCCGCAGCTCTAGAAGCTCTTCGATTTACTTTTCCACACTGATAAATATCTTGGAAAATGGTAGGTCGAAGTACCCACAGTTTGCCCCCACCACAAGCAATCAGCATACGTTCATGTGCTTTGTTTAAAACTGCTATTTTTGTGGTCAGTTTGTTGTCCTTCCCGCGCACCTGCGATTTAGCACGGCTGGCTACGTTCAGTGTGGAAGAAGCTGAACATGCGTAAATACATTCTGATTATGAATGGAGATACCTCAGTTTGTCGCTGCTGGGTGGTTAGAGGTGAGAGAGGCAATGTGGTGGTGGGGGTTGGGATTTAAGAAACTTGCAGCGTTGTATTTCGATTTAAAGCTTTCGTGACTGCAGGGATTCATCTTCTTGGTTCTTTCGGTAAAGTCACGTAGAAGGGAAATGATAAAATTATAAAAATAAAACATGATAAAAAATTTCGATTTAAAGCTTTCGTGACTGCAGGGATTCATCTTCTTGGTTCTTTCGGTAAAGTCACGTAGAATGGAAATAATAAAATAATAAAAATAAAACATAATAAAATAATTCTCACGACGTTTCGGCTACAAGACGGCTGCTTGCGTTGTAGGCGAAACGTCGTGAGAATATTTTATTATGTTTTAATTTTATTATTTTATTACTTCCCTTCTACGTGACTTTACCGAAAGAACCAAGAAGTTGCAGCGTTGTTTTAACGCCTGTGCTGGGTGATCAAATGGAACCGGGCAGCCTCTGGGTTGCAAGTCCCTTAAGTGTTGTACCACTGTGGCAGCATTTGCCTGATTGTTGAATGGAGCTAAAATAGTGCCGAGATGATGGCCCTTGCCCTGCGTGGCCACTCGCGAGCCGATGACCTTGTGTAACCACTCGCCACCAGCAGCAGCAACAGCTGCTACTGCTGCTGCTGCGACACAAACTGCGAAAAAATGTTGCCACGGCCAGAAAATGAAATGCGATGATTAATAATGAAAGGAAACCGTGTGCGGTGTGTTTGACGACGAGCGTTCGAGCAGCCCTTGCGGGGGCCGCATGCACAGAGTTACCTCTTTTTAAGTGGCGGGGGTATATGAAGGTATTTTTTTGGTGCAATTTCACTTGGGTGGATAAATATTTATAATGAATGGAAACCGTATCCACTTGTTTATGTTGCGGTGTTTACATGATGTGAACAGATCCACAGGAGCATACTCCCCACCCCCACAAAACACGCAAGATCGCCTAAAATTTTCCCAACTGCTTTCACGAATATTATTACTTTCTGGGTCTTTCGGTGAAGTCACTTAGATAGAAAAATGAATTGAATTTTAAAAAAATCGTATTCTTTTTCTATCTACGAGACT